TTTAACCGGGATCGGAGTACTCGACACTCGAGGTTCAGGTGCCCACAAGTATAAGATAGGCCTTACTCCGGAGCACAAAAGCGAACAACGAAGAGAATTGTGCAGTTTCAACCTCAAGATAAACATTTGTCGCAAATCTAATATACCTAACCTGAAGGTAACCTCACCCATCAGACATACTTGACTCAACCCCTCAACGAAGACGACCCTAAAACCGCCATCATAAGCTTCTTATACGCACCCCTCAAGCGCCTTCTTCGGGAGTGTCTGGTACCAGACGGCGTAGGGTCCCGGTGCGCACGTACGATCCTGCAATTGCAAACGAGGGTCAGCTTTAGTCCCGGTGGAATGCGGCAGAGGTGGGGAACGAAGGGGAACGAACGAACGAAAGCAGGGAGGAACGAAGACCGAAGGAGACAAAGCAAAGCACCGGCAAATGAGGTCCTCATCCACAGTCCCTAGTCCCGAACCCGACCACAGACACGCAGGAGGATGTCCGGCATGTGTCTGGAGCCGTATGTATGAGTGGCAAAAGGTACGGGTCAGTAACTTGAAGGAAAGGATAGACGGAGATAGATATCCCACGTTTCTTTCTTGATTACACGCTAGAGGCTGCTGTGCTGTCTAACCTAGAGCTCGATGCTATAAACGCGCAGGTGTACATCAGTTTCGTATCGGTCTGGGTTGGAAGAGAGACGTACGTTGTGCTCAGGTGCGCGTGTGAGCGGTTGATCAAGACATCACAGAATACCATCTAGTTAGGAATCTACAAGTCCAATCGGTATTCGCTCAATGAGAAGCCAAGGGCCAATACCCACCTCGTCGGTCCCGATCTTTCCCTCTCCCGCCTTGTACGGCGCCTCAACATCGCGCATGGTCCGCAGGGACCTAATTGGGGGGCGGGGTTGACGTTGGGCACCATGAGGAACACTAAACCGGCCAGTCACGTTGGAGAGTGGTGGGAGACCCACCGCGCTCGATCTGGCCTTCGAGATCGTTGTGAACGTCCTGGAAGGGGTCAAACGTGTGGCGCTGGCGAGGAGGCGGCGGTGTACGACAGGGGAGCTCGGCGACCTTTCGTGCTGTTAGAACGAGCGTGGTCAGTGGTCGTAAAGTTAAAGAAAAGGAAGGAAACGCACTCAATACCGGCGATCGCCCCGCGAATGAGCTCGTCCTAGTGAGAGGCCGTGCAAAGCCATCCTGAGCGTAGAAGTCTCCGGTTAGAATATTAGGGCCTGAGTATGAACAACTTCGCACTTGAATTACCTGTTTGTTTCGCTATCAAGTAAGTCCAAAGTGTTCTTGCTGGTCATGAACGTTGAACATGTAGCGCTGTGCGACCGCGGCCATCTTGCGCGTGGACAATGGTAGCGTCGTGATCACTGTCCATTATGAATACGAAGTCAGTTATCTGGCTATTCAAACGAGTTACGCACTCACAAAGCCCCTCATCAGTACTCAGTTCCGGGTCCCTTGAACGCCTGCGCCTTCGCACCGAGGATATATCCCGGCACCACCTCACCTCCAGAAGCGGGAGAGGGTCGAGCACGGACTACTACCAGGGCGAGTAGGGCAGTATGGGCAGAGGCGCGTAACTTGAGCCACAGCCTTGTGTGAGGCGCCGTTCATGGGGATTGAGCTCGATCGCGAGATGGGAGGGCCGACGAACGGGGGGGCTTGTGAGGGCGCCAGGAATCATTAGGATTGAGGCGTTCATATGCTAACCAGTATAAATGAAGTCGCTTTTTTTTGGATTCTATAGATTGCATTGCATTGTAACCAATTCGAGAGCGCAGCGAAGGCATCTTGGGCTCACCATCCCGGGCATCGGTGGTGGTTGGAAGGTCAGTCTCGTCATCCGGCTCGCCGGCCCGGAGGCAGTCTTGCTCCAAACGTCGAACATCTTCGCGACCTTCGCTACTTAGATCCCGATAAAAACCCACTACTAAAGTGGCGGGCATTTATGTTGCACGGGTAACAGTGATTCTCGTGACGAAAGGTCGTCAAAGGTCGTCGGTCCAGACTGGTCGCCGGTTAACCTCAAGGTCGCGAATCGGTCAGTCGGTTTGGTCTTTGGCCCGCACAACACTGAGTTACTGTGTCGCTTATCCCTCTAACGAGATAGACCTTCCTCGGACAGGAGGAGGGATTATCGCGCGCAGTACCGGAAGCTGAGCCAAGCCAGGCAGCCGACGAAGATCGTGAGCACCTCGTCTTTTCTACATTGTTTAATTAAAACTGACCACTTTGTAAAATCAAGCTCTACGTACCGCAGCTGTTGCTGCGGATATACAACCATGGTATCTACGTACTACCTATAACCCCGCAGAGATCCTCACTCTCCCAGACAATACCGTCAAGGCTCTTACCCTTCCTGCCTTGGTTGAGCACCTCACTGCACACGATCAAGCAGGCATGTTCCTCCGATATTTACATTGTGCGATAACCTCACTCCTCAGCAGATCCCACGTTCAGCCAAGCGTTTTTGATGACTTTCAGACTATCCACAACTGTGGGCGAGCTCTTCGATCTTCTTGTCGCTCGTTTCAGGATAGAGCCTCCTCCGGAACTAAAACCTGAGGAGCGAGACGATTGGGTCATACGCAAGCAACGTATCGTTCAGAGTCGGTCAGTTTGTCGCGAATGGCGATACTCATCACTCACCCTATGGACTCAGAGTTCTCGATGCTTTTAAATCTATGGTTCGAAATGAAGGTGTTTTGGATAGAGAAGACATGCACATTTTGGACCGCATCAAGACGTTTGCCTGTGTCACAGTTCCTTGTAGCGAAGGAACTTCTGGTTCACATGGATCAAGCTGTAAGTTCCATATATTTTTATTAAACCTATATGCTCATATTGGCATGCAGCAGCGAAATGATACTCCCATGATCAGGTCGATACCGCAAGGCACGTCTCCACCGCCTATTTTGCCCAGGGCGAAGAGGGAGCTCAAACTCAAAGACGTCGACATCGTGGATTTGGCGCGCAAGCTCACAATACTGGAGAGCAATCTGTATCAGAACATCAGACCCATGGAGTGTTTGCAGCGAGCCTGCAGACGGGGAACAGAGAACACTGATAACATTGCTGTTGTTATTCAAACAAGTAACCGAATATGACGTGTCTATTGGCACGAAGATATGCATGGTGAGCTAATGATTTGCCTGAGCAGATTGCGGATTGGGTGGTAGATTCTGTTCTTAGCAGCGCAGACGCGCGAATGCGCTGAAGTTTTTCATCAGTGTTGCTGATGTTAGTCAATTCACTTCAATACTTTGCTTTGCTTGTTAGAACTGTGTTTGACCTAGCACTGTCGAGCCTTGAATAATTTCTCTACGACGATGGCTATAATCCCTGGCCTTAATACCCCGCCTATCCGCCGTCTCAAGCGCACTTGGGAACGCGTTAATCAGGAGAGTCTCGTTCAGTTTGCCGCGTGCGAGACGGCTGTGGACAGCAGCAAGAGCTTTGCGAGATACCGACCTCCATGTGTTCCCCTGATCCGTACGTCGATTGACATATAACCCGTTTATATCAACACCTGTTCACCCAACTCTACGTATTTTCATGTCAAACCCACAGTTTATTCAAGATGGGAGCCCAGACGCGCTGCCAGGCGGTTTGGTGAACTTCCGTAAGCACCAGAAGGCTTCGGAGGTCATCAACGACATCAAGCGGTGGCAAGCGCAACCTTTCAACTTCGAGCTTGTTCCACAGATTCAGAACTACATAGAGGAGCCTTTGAATCGGTTCAAAGAAACCAAGGCGTCAAGCGAACGTTTCTGGGAGCTGAGTTTGCAGCGGGAGCCGAGGGAGAGGGAAGACGTGAAAATGGCAAGGTTACTTGCGGAGAGTGGTTTTCTTTGAGTATCATTATGGGACGACATTCCGTATTCCATGTGCTAAGAATACCAAGCTACTTGACCTCCAAAAAAGCATGTTCCTTCGAACCGGCGTCGATCCAGTGACCTCGGGATACCAAGTTAACCTGTTACAGTCCCGCGCTCTTCCAACTGAGCTATCGAAGGGGATGTGTTGTTCCTCGACAGGCCAGCTCCGGGCGCGGGTTTACTACCCTTTAAGCGACTGACCAAGTATTCATCTTTGCTTTCTGGTTCCTCTGCGCTCGGTGGAAAATAAAACACCTAGAAGCAAAAGCCAGTATATTATACGAACAGTAGCTCCTTTCGATTGCCGAGTAGTTCGTTATGGAGTCAAGTGCGGCGATCACGTTAAGCCGCGCGCGGTGCACAATCAGTCTAGTTAACCACTCCCCAAGCTCGGCTCTTAATACTGCTCACTTTACTCCTCGAGACGACGATACCAAAGACTTTTCCCTGAACCCAAACTCTATTTTTCTGCCTAGTAATCTCGCGTGCAAAACAGTAGCAAGGATCATTTATGGTCATCGTTATACTATAGATGAGGTGGGTTGGCCTGTGGCGCGTCAGAATGGGCATCTTTTAGTGTGTCTCAAACTTAAATTTATTCCAACCCGTCTTGTCATTGGTTCCTGCTCGTACTTGAACCTTATCCCAACTCGCTCTGTCATTGGCTGTGAAAGATTCCCTACACATATATAAAGGCGTTCACCCGCCTTTGGACCGCCACCCTTTCTTTCCACCCTTCCCCCACCATATGCATATCCCTCAGCTACGCTTCGAGATTAACGACTCATCACTGGACCGACTCAGCGCGTATACGGACATACGTCATTCCGCCCCGCGGATCCCGATCAGGATTTGCTTCCGCTCCGAAATCGTCATCACCATCCACACGACTCTGTTTATCTTATCTCATGTCTGATCGCGTGGGCTTTATGAAGCGCCACCGTGGCAGAGCGAGGCCACACGTTGAAGTTCTATGGTGCCGTGCAATGCGTCGACAGATGAGGCGCAACGAAAATGAATGGGTGAATTGATAAACAAACAAAAAGGACGTCAGCCGCGACTTCATGCGCGATTTTCTTCGCGTGAAAAACATGTTGAGCTCCACATTAGCAGCAACTCGTTTCGATCGAGTGACCTCGGGGTGACAATCAAATATGGGCCCCGCGCGCTTCCAACTGCGCCATGCTGCTATGTTTGATATCACTCACATTGCGTCTAGATCTCTGCACACCTTTACTCGTCTCTCCATTGGCATTCGCCATCATCGCATGATAGGCCCAAGTGTGGCACCCGGACCAACGAAAACAGTTTCGGAATTAGGATGGCCAATCGATGGAAAAATCTGTCGTGGGAGATCCCGTGGTCGTCTACGCGCTGCTCCGAGAGCCACGAGGAGCCACGAGGACAAATATCGCGCGGCGTGTATGGAGAGGTGAACTGATTCAGAATGTATCATTTTGCTATCAACGCGCAGGAAAGTAAATTCCGGTATGCCCTCATGCCAATTCTTATGCCTCCGGCTGAGCACCACAGATAGTCGTGTTTGTAAATATCTGCTGGGAAGTCGGAAGCTTGGCGGCCAGAGGCTGTCATCAGTCACCAGGTGTCCGAAGTGTGAACAATAGTCAAGCTCAAGCTATGCTGTATGAAGGGAAGCGACGCTGCGGTCTAATCGTCTAGATTGGTGGTGATATCCATTGCATCCCTTGATGACCCGTACAAGAACGCTTCATCATCGCCAAGCAGTGCATATGCTACGCTACTGGGCATTCCGGCAGTACATGCATAGTCTTAGAAAGATTATTTCTGTGGAGTAAGAGCTGGGGGTATCCAGGCATGCTTTGATCATCTGGAGGCTCAGCCCAGAACCTCCGCTCCATCAGTGAATGCAAAAAGTTGGCAGTGCTGATGAACAGTTGACAGCGCGGATATCCTTTTGTTTCTTGTCCGAGGTGAGACCTAGAGAGTCAATAAGGCTTCAAGGAGAGTTCCATGACCAGTCGGGATGAAAAGAAAAAACTGTTGCACAAAGGTTAGCAGCAACTCGTTTCGATCGAGTGACCTCGGGGTTTCAAATGATATGGGCCCCGCGCGCTTCCAACTGCGCCATGCTGCTCTGTCAGAGAATGATGATCCATCATCCTGTACAGACGCAATGCATTGATGTAGAGTACGTATGCTGGAGGAACCCTGTGAAGTCAGACAACATTGTAATAATTTGATGTTGAAGACTATCGTTCTCGGCATCGAGTTGTTCAGGCATGGAATGGGAACAGACGAGGAGGAGTAAATATACATCGGAGATTTGTCAGTCGGGATTGTCATCAGGCTAAAGCATCATGACAATTTGACGGATACACGGGGTTTCGGTTGGTATGTCATGGAAATTTAGAAAATTAGATTATACGTTGAAGATATGAAGCATAGAGAGAGAGAGAGGAATTACCACTGTGCCCTGGGCTCAGGAATGTTTCTGTCAATATGAAATATATATATAATTAGATTACGGCCTTGGCGGAGAAGGGTCGGCTATATATGAAACCCAAACAAGACGCTGGTTCCTGACGGACCGCCACATATCTGCCCAGTAACCACCATGAATCTGCCTTGGCTCTAACCTCCATCTCAACCGCATAGACTTTTCAATTATAGAATTTCAAAAGCCAGAGTTGAAACCATGTCAACGACGTTGAGCGCTGGTCCTAGCCACGGCCACCCTCATCTCATCATCCCAAACCCGTTCTCTAGAGCAGCGGGAGACGAGCTAGACGACGATAACTCATCTTTCGATTCCTCTACACCTCATACACCCACCACGACTCACCAAGGTCACAGCATCCGGGCTCAGCTGCACCATTTGCTTCCGCGGCACGCATTCTTCCACGTCGTCATCACCGTACACCAGATCACCAACATCCCACTTGTCAGTGGAGAATTTGCGCTCAAGTGGAAGTTCAAGAACGTCCACAGTGCGCCAGGAGGCAAGGGTCCTACAGGGTTCCTGAGTGCAGTCAAGGCGCGGCGGCAGGCGCACAAGGAGAAGATAGCGAAGGGCAAGGAGCAGGCGAAGGACGATGATCTAGAGGCGGCCGACGACAGCGTGAGCTTGGGGAGCAGCGAGGCAGTGCCTCGGCGGTCGGGATCGATGGACGGACGTGCGTCGATGTGGTCTGGCAAGTCTTCGTCGTCTTCGTCATCAGGAGCGTCGGGAACAGCTGTCAATTCTAGCGTGACATCTTCACCTTCGCTGATCTCTACAGGCTCATCATCATCAGCGTCCTCGACGACACCTACGGCAAACACCCCAGCGCGCGGCCAGACAGCATTCCGCAAGCTCAAGGAGCACAACGTGTCCTGGGATGAAAAACTGTCCATAATCATCCGAATGGACGTCGACCGGGATCCGCAGTCAATGCTTTTATCGTGCCCTGCGAAGCTAGTAGTGCTGCAACGCGACCCCACGAAACCCGAGGCGCGTCCGACCCGTTTCGGGATTGTGAATCTTGACCTTGCACAATACGCGTGCAAGGGCGAGGTGACTCGGCGCTACTTGCTGCGGGAGAGCAAGACGAATGCAACGCTCAAGGTACGTGACGACAATCATTTCGTTCGATCGAGCGCTCACCGGTACGCTATATAGCTCACAACGCAGGTGACCCACTTGCCAACGATCTCCACCAACTCGCACTGCGCTCCCATGGTTCCTGCATCATCGGCCGCATCCACCACTGCATCCACGCTAAGTACAGCTTCTACTGCAAGTACAGCATCGACAGCATCCACTGGGACCTCGACGTCAACCAACACATTCACGGCGCCACCTCTGCCGCAAGGGGAGATCCTCAACGGGATCAGCAACATCCTCAGCGGCTCCTCCGCACTAGGTATCATCGGCGAGCACGACTTGTACCGCGTGCGACCGAAAGGGCTCGATCTGTACGGGCCGTACTATGACCAGGAAGAACTCGAATTCGACCTGCTCGGTGGGCGGGCACTTTCGACCGGCAAGGGAAAATCGAAACCCAAGTCGAGCGGCCCGCGGAACGGCATGGAGATCGACAGCGAAGGGAAGACGACAACGACGACGACAACGGCACGGCCGCGGTCGGGGACGCAATCGTTCGACCCGTCGCGGCTGCCGCTGGCGTACGGGCCAAAGACGACGGAGGCGCTGATCGAGGCGCTGTTCAACCCCGTGCCGACGACGCACCCTGCGCGCGAGAGCCCGTTCACGGTGTACGTCCCGCCTGTGCGCACGCCCGTTATCAGCGTCAGCGGTGTGTCTGGGTCCGGGGGCGACTCGAACTCGGGGGCGTCGTCGACTGCGACGCTGACGGCACCCAGGCAAGCGCGTAGTGTTTCGAGCTCGAGCCCGAGCGCGACGCCGCGGCCGAGTGCGATGCTGAAACCAGCCCCCCAGACGCTGCCGCGGACAAAAAGTGCCTCTGGGTCAGGTATCGGTGCGGGGCTTGGGGTCATGGGGCTTGGGATGGGACTGGGCGTGGGACTGGGTGTCGGTGTTGGGCTTGACAATGAATCAGGAGGCAGGGCAAGCATGGATTCTATGACGAACGGGAAGGGCAGGGTAAGGGTGAGCCTTGATGGAGTCGAGCAACATTGGGGGGTCAGGGAGGTGGAGATGGAGATGGGCGTGGTTGGTAAGGATAGTTCGGGAGGGTCAATGAAGGAGTGGTGGCGCAAGAAAGTGGGTGGTTCGAGACCGGGGACACCTGTTTCAGGGATGGTTCAGTGATAGCTGGAACTATCGCCTGTGCTCTTACATATTGATTTCTTTGGACAGCTTATTAGACACTCTACATTACTGTTGCTGCACAATTTAGTTCAATACCTTATCTATATGAATGCTCGTTATGCATTGAGACTTGTATTCACTACAATACATCTGCCATTCGTTCCCTTCGTGCCCCGTTGGTCTAGATTCAGCCATATAGTGCGCCGAAGCAAATGTGCCATGGTCAACGAGGTGGCTGGTGTTACAAATGCAACGGTCACAGTAAAGTAGCCCCAATCCACTTTGCCATTTCTATACTTTTGGTGCCATTTTCTAGTCACAGAAGAAATCGATTTAATACTGCGGCATTCAATGTAGATTCATGGATCGCTCAAAGTTTGGGTATCCTAATCACAAAAGAAAGCTCAAAAAGAAATAAGTATACACAAAGCATCGAGCAACCGAATTTTCACTACCCCCTCGCCTACTCACAGCCCACACTCCAACTCAACCACGAACAACACCCACAGTAACCTCCACCGCCCTCCCCTCCGCCCGTCCATCCCGCCCCCCAAGCGCACCCGCACACATCTCCCATGCCCAACGCGTAAGCGCAAGCACATCGTCATCACCGAGGTCCTGCCGCACATGCAGCTCGAGCGTCACCACCAGCGGAGAGACCGCCGCCGTCGCCGGTTTACCGCCGAACGTCGAGCTGGTGCTGGTAGGCGAGGCGGGGGAGGCGCCGAGCTGCCATATATGCGGCGCGGGCAGGTGGACGACTTGGGGGTGGCGTTCAATCTGTGCGACGTAACAGAGGAACATGAGATATGAGAACCTGGGGAAGAGAAGGGAAGAGGACGGCTGACCTCGCGCATGACCCGTAGGAACGCCTCCATCCTCCCGCTGGCGCCGCGCGGGGGTGCGGTCTGCAGGAGCACGACGCCAAGCACGGTGCACGCGTTGTAGGCGAGGTGGAATGTGACGGCGGCGATGGCTGCTGCGAGGATAAGGTCGCACGTCCGGTGTTGGGAGCTGTGTGAGTTTGGAAGTAGTCAGGATAGGTGTTCAGGCGTTGAAATAGACCAGAAGGAGAAGAAAGGTACATGAATGGAAGGCACTCACGCAGGCACCAAGAGCGCAAGGCCGAGCACACCTAGCGTGAACGCCAGGGGGGCCACGGTGAATGGGTTCACCAAGATACGCGCAAGAGATGTCGTGGGCTCTGGCTCTGGCTGGTGGAACTTCGAGCGCGATGATGACGCCGGCGAGCTGAGGAGTGCGCGGAGGATCGATCGTACGGATGGGACACGGGCGCCGGTAACTAAAACACTTTCGTTATTTCATGAGTCTCAGCGAAAAAGATATAAACGCACCACTGCGTAGCTTCGTGTGGTTGTCGTACATTATAGCTGATGCTGCGAGCGTAAAAAGAGTTAGACATGCGAAATATATCGGAAATTCGATGCTAGAGGATATAATTGGGTGGTGAGTGGAAAAAGCTGATGAGACACATGATGAGTGACCCTCACCCAACAAGACTTGGGTCTTCGTCTCCGTGGTGGTGATGGTGGCCCTCGCCGCCGCCAGCACTGAGGAGCAGGTGCTCAACAGTCTCCTTGCACACATAAACCGCGGAGAACATGAGATACACCGCCTGGGCGAACATGAACACCGTCTGGATCGGGGTATTACTACAAAAAAAAAAAAGTCAACCTCTCGAGAAACAGAAACCAAATTTCAACCGCAAACGCGTACCCATAAGGTCTTCGGATCTTCCTCCTCTCACTCCCACTCCCCGATTCGAGCTTTCCCTCAAGCCATGACGGCAGCACACACGCGAGCCCAATCCCAAACGCATCAAACACGACCCAGTACCCGATTCCCGTCACCGAAAGGGATCCAACTTGCTGTCCAGTCACCCACAGGTAAGCACCCAGGACGAACTGGAACACCGCCGCGCTCCGCGCCAGCTTGCGCGTTTCCACAGGTATCCTCGGGCTCTCAACGTGTTTGTGGTGGTGGTGGTGGTTATGGTTATGATGATGATCGTGGTCATGATCGTGATCGTGCCCGTTCCCATTCGTAGGGGACGTCGGCGTGTGCGGCGGGAACGCGCCGCTGGCCGATTTTGCAGATTGTGGGAACGAAGTGGTATTAGCCCAGGGGGACAAGGGCATCGGCGTCGGCTGGGTATGCAGTTCCTCTGCGGGCGGCGTTCCATTCCCGTTGCCAGTTGCACCAGGCTCGAGGAACGAGAAGAAACTATGTGACATCGAGTGTTTATGGTGGTGCCCACGGCGCGCAGACGTCGGCGTTTGCGCCCGTGCTCCCGTGAGCAGTTCCGGTGAGAGTGCACCAGGCGGCGGGCGGCCACCGAACGT